TGCAGCTAAGGCTACCCCCCCCACCCCCGTGCTGTAAGTACCACTCACGAAGCTCCTGGGAGGACTGAGGGTGCTGCGCGCTCTGGCCAGTGCCAGAGCCTCCACGACCACCACCGCCGCCTCCACCACGACCACCACCGCCCCTGCCGCCGCCACGTCCACTGCCGCCACCACCACCGCCCCCACCGCGGCCACCGCCGCCGCCGCTGCCTCCACCACCCCCACCGCTGCCACTAGCCCCTCCAGCCCCGCCACCGCCCCCGCCGCTGCCACCACTCCCACCACCACCTCCCCCGCCGTCACCCCCACCGCCCTTGCCTCCCCTGCCCTTGCCGCTGCGGCGCCCGCTGGGAGCGGACGCAGAGCCGACCTGCTCAGCACCAAGAAGGTCGACAGCAGCAGCAGAGGCGACAGAGGGGAGGAGGGGGGAGGGGGAACACCCCTCGAAGAAAGGGGTGCGGGGGTCGCCACGAGAGGCACCTACAGCTACAATACTCTTCTCAGCTGCAAGTAGTTCCTTCTCTAGGGCGGCAATGGTGAGCTCAGTGGGACAGCGAGCTAGGAAGTGGTCCCTGACTGTACGCAGAGTGTCAGGGAGGCGGGTGACTAGGTGGTAGAGAGTGAGCCAGAGCGGGGGAGGGTTGGATGCAAGAAACTCAGCGGGCATGGCTGCACGGAAGCGGGCATCACTAGTACGGAGGTGAGTGATGAGGTCAGCGACTGTCTGGAAAGCGGACAGGTCGGGGAACAGGTAGGGAAGGGAGAGACGGCCTAGTGCAGCTGAGGCCGGGGAGGAGTAGCGCGCAACTACAGCAGTGTACAGGGCCTGCGCAGTCTGATGCTGGCCGAAGTGCTCACGCTCATCGACTGGCAGGGAGTTGCGAATGGCAAAGCGGGTGTGGGCATCGCGAGTCTGCCACTGCGAGCGAGCAGTAGCGGTAGCAGTAGTAGCAGGAGCAGGGACTGTGCCTAGTGCGTGATCGTACAGCGAGATATCCTCTCTAGCAGTGAGCTGGAGGAACAGGTGCAGATCATCAAGCCAGGTATCAAACTTAATCGGGCGGCCCTCAGAATCGAACGAGAGAACTGTAGGGCTAGCCATAGCTGAAGTAGCAGTAGCAGCAGTGGTGGTAGTAGCAGTAGCAGTAGCAGTAGCAGTAACAGTAGTAGTAGCAGTGCTGTGCACAGGTAAGTAGGGCGCGGCTCGGCTAGGGCGGCGCGGCTCGGCTAGGGCGGCGCGACTCGGCTAGGGCGGCGCGACTCGGCTAGGGCGGCGCGGCTCGGCTGGGGCGGCGCGGCTCGGCTGGGTCGCGCGGTTCGGTTCGGGTCGCGCCGTGCGGCTCGGTCGTAGAGGGGCGAGCGCGGAAGGGCCGGTCGGGGCTAGCGCGGGAGGGCCGTGAGAGGCTAGCGCGGGGCCTGCAGGGGCCGTGGGAGGCTAGCGCGGGGCCGACGGGGGCCTTAGGAGGCTAGCGCGGGGCCGACAGGGGCTTAGGAGGCTAGCGCGGGGCCGATCGGGGGCCTTAGGAGGCTAGCGCGGGGCTAGCGTGGGGCCGACGGGGGCTTAGGAGGCTAGCGCGGGGCCGATCGGGGGCCTTAGGAGGCTAGCGCGGGGCTAGCGTGGGGCCGACGGGGGCCTTAGGAGGTTAGCGCGGGGCCGATCGGGGGCCGTGAGAGGCTAGCGCGGGGCCATACGGGGCCTTGAGAAGGAGGCGCTCGAGGCGCAGGAAAAAGAACGGCGGCGCACGAGGGCGCGGCTAGCGGAAACGGTGGGCCCTATCGTTTCGGTCCTAGGTGGAACCTAGGCTCGTAATACCATGTCAGAATGAGAAACGAGAATGAGGAGTGACTAGCAGGAACAACAGTACAAATATGTCAAACCCTAATCTGGTGTACCCCTTATGGTGTGACCCACTACAGCCTAGAACCACACAAACATATGAATGTTTGACACAAGGCACGCTGGGTCGTGCGAGGATTTGATCAGGAACAAGGACGGGACTTCACAGAGACATTCGCCCCGGTTAGCCGACACACCTCTCTCCGAATCCTCATCGCGATCGCCGCCATGAAGAAAAAGAAACTACGACAAATCGACGTCGCTAACGCTTTCCTCTACGCACCCGTCGACGCCGAAATCTTCGTTGAACTCCCACATGGTACCCACGGAGAACCCAATCAGGTTTGTTAGCTACTGAAATCGCTCTACGGAATCAAACAGGCCCCACGGCTGTGGCAACAGCACCTACACACCCGCCTCACTCGCATCGGATTCCGCCAACTGCCTCACGACCAAGGCATGTACCGACTCACCAAAGACGCCAACTACATTCTGCTTATCGTCTACGTCGACGATCTACTCTACATCGGTTCTACCGACGACATATCTACCTGGTTCGAAGGGGAGCTGAAGAAGGATCTCACACTCACGGTCTCTACTACCGTCACTCAATATCTCGGACTCAACATCCGCGAAGAAGAAAATGCGATCTACCTCAGCGCCGAAAAATATGCCGACACCATCGCCAAACGCTTCGCGCTCACACCTGCTACTATCTCCATGCCATACCGCTGCACGGCAGGAAATGGTAAAGGAAGCACCGTCTTACTTAAAACCGCCGGAATACGCGACTACCAGCGAAAACTAGGCTGCCTCCTCTTCGCAGCCGTCACCTGCCGCCCAGACCTGTCCTATTCCGCAAGCCAACTTGCTACCTATCTCAAGAGGCCCGAAGCAGAACACCTGGCGGAACTCGACCGTGCTCTTCACTATTTCGTGAGCACCGCAACTATCGGCCTGACGTACCACAAAGACACAACTACGCCAACGAAACTAATCGGTTACGTCGATGCCGATCACGCCGGCGACTCAGATAACAGGCGCTCCCGCACTGGCTACATCTACCGCCTAGAACCTATCGGACCTATCTCCTGGCAATCGAGCAAGCAGGAACTAATTGCGCTCTCTTCAGCTGAAGCAGAATATATCGCCCTCTGCTCAGCCACCAAGGAAGGACTCTAGCTTCGCGAGCTGCTGGAAGAAGCGAAGTTAGCCGAGTTACCCAACTTCACTTTGTTCTACGACAACCAATCTGCAATTCGCATCGCCAATAAGAGCGGATTCGCGAACAGAACGAAGCATATCGCCCTGCGATACTTCTTCGTGAAAGACGAAATCGAGAAAGGGAAACTCGATCTATCCTACTGTCCCACGTCCGAGATGGCAGCTGACTACTTGACCAAGAAGCTTGGAAAACAGAAGTTTGAGTACTCCATGCTGCTGACTGGACAAAGCCACGTCACCATCAGCGACACTCCAGAAGCGAAGGGGAGTGTTGGGAACAAATAAGTTAAGCGCCTCTGTCGTGTCAGAACTCAAGACACAAAGCGAAGCAGCTCAAGTCGAAGCATCGCGAGTCAACCCTTGGTGTTTAACGTAACCGTCGGAGGTTACGAGAAAGTCAAAGGTCCGCGACCTTGACCTGACGCAGCGCGACAGCAAGGACAAACAACTGACTCGACATTGAGCAGTTGCCCGAGTCGCACTGTATCGAATCGCAACAGTAAAAGGTAGTTATAATGTCTCTTCATATTCTCTGTACTCATCTATTTATATTCCTGTATCTCTTTGCTTTAATCAACTCACTTTGCCCTCACATACTAGCGCAAGGTGGTTCAAGGATTTTATTCAACGCTTCCGCTACTACAACACCTACTCAGACTTTAACTCTACAAAGATCCTAGGGCGTTTCAGCCCAACAGGTGTTATATCCGACCCTGTTAGTACTATACCCCCCTTTTTGGGGTGATTCTCTATAACACCCCCCTTTTCTTATAGATTCCTATTATACCGGTAGCTGTTATCGAGTCCGATTCCTTACGGGAGGATATCGCGAAAATCACTCCCTAGAATAAATTTCGCATGTACTTTCACTTAGAATCAGCAGAGATATCCCCCCTCCCACAATCTCGCTGTCGCCACGCTGGTGAATCCCAAAATCTCGTTGTCGCCACGCTTGCGAATCTTCCATTGCAAGTGGTCCAAGAGGTGAAGTGGCCCAAGTGGCCCACAATATCCTCGTACTCGGTTTTGCGGCATTGATCAACAATCTTGAAGTGAAGTCGGACCCCTGATTTTGTTTCACATCTTTTCTGGCTTATAAAAATATACCATATCATAAGACCCGGGTATTACATAGGATTTTCCTTTGAGGAGACCCCCCCCCATTTTTTTCCAGTGGTTTTCATAATACCCTAGGGTGTTTTATCCGGGAGAATACGGTATGAGATGTAAAAGAGAGTGCGCGGGTAAATGAATAACGGGACTGTAATTGAATGATATGAGAATACAATGAAGGCACAGACTAATGTAGGGACTAGCTTAGCTAGGAGGGAACCTCGGATGAGCGAGGTTGGGTGCAGGTTTGGCGATTGGGAAATGCCGAAGGCGACGCGAGGAGCCTCAGCAGCGTTGAAATCGGCCGAACGTGCAGAGTCTGAAAATCGGGTTGTACGCGAAGCTGTCAACCCCGATAAGGAATTCAGGAAAGTTCCTTACATGGGCAGTATTGCGTATTGCGTAAATCGCACATGTTTATGAGAAAAACAAACACAATACAGTTGCTTATGAAGACTGAGAACATGAGATGTTTGGCAATCAATGTACTTGGCCGTCTGAAAAAATACTACTGTATCAACAGAACATTTGTTTATGTGCTCATGCCTCCATAATGCTGTAATGTTGAAGCCAGTGTGGCAGTTGTGTCATATTGAGAATATCGAACAGTCTGAAAGATGAACTTATGGAGGGCACATCATGAAGCATATCCACTCAACATGCGCATGCGTAAGCTTTGTACATTTTGTACCTTGTGCCTGGTTTGTTTGTGGCCAGCGTCTGGTCTTTATTGAACAGCTAAGTACGGTAGTATTCCATACAAAAGTTCACAGCCCACCCTTATGAAAATTCCTATAAGCTCACGCTGAGCTCACCCTTTGAATTCTCACCCTGCCACCACCTCTCTTCTCTTCTGCACCACAGTAGTAGACCAAACAAGACCACAGGAAATGATGGCGAGAGGGGAGAGCGAACGGAGGAATTTGACTGTGTTTATACAAACGAGCCTGTGCTACATGTGATTATACAAACGAAGCTGTCTTTATACAGACGAACCTATCTTTATATATGTGAACTTGTGTTACCTCTGTTCATACAAACGAGCCTGTTTTTATACATGCGAACCTGTGTTACCTGTGTTGATACAAACGAGCCTGACTTCATAAAAAGGACCTGCATTAACTGTCTTTATACAAACGTACCTGTGCTTATACAACCCGTCTTTATACAAACGTACCTGTGCATATACAAACAAACTACAGCATTGCAGCTGCAGCATGAGCAAGCTAGTAAACAGGCTGTAGCACGCATGTGGAGACACATCCCGTAATGCTTCCCTCTGTCCTCTGTGAGACAGGCGTCATTACTCAGAATGCCCATGGGTGGTAACCAGGACCTGGGATTGCGCGGTCCTGGTAACGTACCTGGTACCGATTCGATGCATACCTGCTACCACATGGTACCACATGGTACTGCATGTTACCACACGCTACCACATGGTACTGCATGCTACCGAAAGCTACCACATGCTGCCGCATGGTACTGCATTGTACTACTAGCGAACCTGGCATGTCAACACACCTGGCACCACATTCTACCATATAATACTGCATTGTAGAACAAGGATCCGCATGGTACCGCATTGGACCAGTGACGCATCTAGCTTCTCGAGAAGGCATCAATGACATGGCACGCTGCTCTCCCCACATGCTACCACATAACATCACAATGTACCGCGTTTCAACGCACTGTACCGCACTGCGCACCTGATACTGCTCAAGGCCAGTGCGGGAGAAGGCATCGATGACCCGACACGCCAGCTCTGCTCGCTCCAACGCCTCCACATACTTCAGGGCTGGTGGGGTAAGATTGGGTGATGTGCGGTGGTGAGGAGTGGAGAGCAATGAGGAGCAGTGCTGGCAGTGAAGGGCAGTCATGTGGACTGAATGCCATAATGGCAGGTGATGTGCAGGTGATATGGAGTGAAGTGCGGTGATGTGCAGTGACGTGCGGTGATGTGCGGTGATGTGCAGGTGATGCAGAGTGATGTCTCATGCCTCCCATTTGCTGCATCCCCATGCCCATACTATGCACATGCCCCATGCTCATACCCATGCTCATACCCATACCCATACACATGCCAAGGCCATACCAATATCCATGCCAACATGCCTCCCTTACCTCTGATCCGCCCTGTGGCTTCACATGTGTTCATCCTATGCACGACCACTCCCCTACAACTGTTGAAACGAGGTGACTGTTGAGTCGACTCAGACAAAAGTCATCATCCCACCCACAACCACTCCCCTGCACGCATTGAGGTGGTTTTTGAGGCGCCTCAAAAACCACCTCAAGAAACGAGGTGACTTTTGAGTCGACTCAGAAGTCATCATCCCATCCACAACCACTCCCCTACACGCGCCTGCTCTCTCCACCAACTATCCATATACCCATTGCTCCTACCTTGTTTTGAGGCATCAAAATCCAAATCCATGCGCAAGTCGCTCCCTCACCTCTGATCCGCCCTGTGGCTTCACACGTTATCAACCCATCTACCGCCTCTTGCCCACTGCTGCTGCTCCCTGCTGCTGCCGCCCCACCTGGCCCAGTGGGCACTGTAGCAAGCACTGTGCCGTCCGGTGCTAGAGGGTGGTTTGCAAACACTGTGCAGAGGGTGGCAGACGCTGTCTGTAGTGATGGGGGGAAAGTGGGGAGAGGGAGAGTCAAAGAGGGTCGAGGTGAGTAAAGGACATTCAAGGATAGTCAAGGAAAGTCCGGGAGAGTCAAGGAGAGGTAAGGAGAGGTAATGAGAGGTAATGAGAGGTAAGGAGAGGTAAGGAGAGGTAAGGAGAGGTAAGGAGAGGTAAGGAGAGGTAAGGAGAGGTAAGGAGAGGTAAGGAGAGGTAAGGAGAGGTAAGGCCTGGGGGAGGCTCACTCACCTGCTGCTCCTGCTTGGTTGGGTCTAGCAACAGTTGACCTTGTGAGTCCAGTGCCAGCTGCACTGCCGCTGTGTGTATAGGCGCATGGGGAGGCGGGCGGGGGCAGCACACAGAGGGAGGGAAGGAGCGTGTGCGAGTGAATGAGAAAATAAGGTTGCAAGTCCAGAGCCAGCTGCACTGCTGCTGTGTGTATAGGCGCATGGGGAGGCGGGAGGGACGGAGAGTGTGCGTGTGAGTGAACAGTTAAGCGTGGGATTCTGGTACTGTTTCGATGCGCACACAGAGTGAAGATGGGAGTGGTACGAGGAGAGGAGGGACGTGAGGAGAGAGGGAAGAGAAAGGAGGGAGAGGAGAGAGCGGAGAGAGAGGAGCGAGGGGAGAGAGGGGAGAGAGGGGAGAGAGGGGAGGGAGGGGAGAGAGCGGAGAGAGGTGGGAGAGGGGAGAGAGGGGAGAGAGGGGGCAGAGGGGGCAGAGGGGAGAGAGCGGAGAGAGGGGAGAGAGTGGAGAGAGGGGAGAGAGGGGAGAGAGGGGAGAGAGGGGAGAGAGAGGAGAGAGGGGTGAGAGGGGAGAGAGGGGAGAGAGGAGGGAGAGGGGAGAGAGGGGAGAGAGGGGAGAGAGGTTAGAGATGGGGGAGAGGGGAGAGAGGGAGAGGGGAGAGAGGGGCACCTGGGAAGCAGGCGAGAGGCAAGCCGGCATCGAGGAGAGCAGCAAAGGCGGCATTGAGAGCACACGCCAGCAGCTGGCGATGGGCGGGGTGTGGAGTGGTGTGGGGTGGCGTGTGGGGTGGTGTAGGGTGGTGCAGAGGGGTGTAAAGGGGGTGGGGGAAGAGAGGGAGGCAGGAGGAGGGGAGGGAGTTGTGGGGAGGGAAAGATGGAGAAAAACGGAGAGCAAGGGATAAGGGAAGTGCCGTAAACAGAAAGCTGATTTAGGGAAAAAGGGAAGATGACTTAGCAATCTTGCCAGATTTCAGTGGGAAATTGTGGGGTTGATCACATAGACCACCTAAACAAACATTCAGCGATTCGCCCTCTACAATCTAGAAAATAGGAAACCGAGTGCCACCCAAGAATGACCGAACGACAGCATAGCATAGCCATGGCTTTCCTCAATCTACAGCCATCCCAGTGAATCTATAGATCTGTCCACTTTCGTTTTCAGCGCTCGGGTACGGTGAAAATTAACCCGAACCTGCTGCCCAAGAAAAGGTTTGCCTGCCCAGACACACATCTTCCGAGAGAGATTGTCGTAGCCACAAAATAGCGTGTTGATGTATATTAAAATGCAGCAGCACTGAAGACTTACCGAGCCATCGTCATGCACCACCTGCAAAAAAGGCATGGACAGTGCAATGGGATGCGATGCGATGCGATGCAATGAGATGCAATGCAATCATGCGAGAATGAAGGAGAGGAGGAAGAGGGACAAGGGCACATAGGAAGTTGGGTGGGGAAGGAAGCGAATGCTGCATCAGAATGAGGAGACTAACAAGGGAAGGGCCTGTGAGATGCTGGAAAATAATATGTTTCTTCTTGAGGAGACTAATAGGATTCTCGAATGCGACTCAATAAGAGCAAGGAAAAGCCCTGCCCAGCGCAAAGCAAGATGCAATGAGATGCGAGGATGTGAGTAGAAGAAGAGGAGGATAAGGGACAGGGGCACATCGGAAGTTGGGTGGAGAAGGAAGCGGACACTGTATCAGGATAAGGAGACTAGCAAGGGAAGGGCCTGTGAGACGCTGGAAAAAAAATAGCAATAATTCCTTCTTGGGGAGACTAATAGGGTCTTCAAATGTGACTCAATAGGAACAAGAGAAGGGCCTGTCCAAAGCAAAGCTAGAACAAACAAAGTTTCAAAGGAAGGGAGGTTAAAAAGACAAGTGGATGCAGATAGATTCAAGTGGCATGTCTTATGTGCTGGTTGTGCAGCGTCGCAGCTTTATCACCGCACTACACCCCTCCCTGCAGCTGCACCACCCACATTCTCCACTGCGGGACCATGCATCACCGCACCGCACCCCACTCAACCCACCTGCAGCTGCAGCTGTATTCTTGTGCGCGGCAGCAGCGACGACAGCAGCACGGCATCTATTGTCTGCCGCACCACTGCCTCGCTGTACTTCTCCTGTGGGCCTGGCGTGGTAAAAGGGGGGAGGTTAAAGGGCGGGAGTAAGGGGAGAGGAGGGATTGGAGTGGTCATGACATGACATGACATGATATGACATGACATGACATGACATGACATGACATGACACGACATGACATGACATGACATGACATGACATGACATGACATGTCTGGGGCAAATCACGTCAGCAGCACCGAGTCCACCGTCTGCCGCCACCACTGCCTCGCTGTACTCCTCCCATGGGCCTGGTGGGTGGGAGGGAGGGGAGCAAGGGGGAAAGGAGGGGAGGGAATGGTAAACGGAGTGTGAGGGATTTGTCTCTTGATGACAGGGGGCAAGGATGACAGCAGCACGGCGCCCACTGTCTGGACACATCGCCACCATTACAGTCACTCTCAGTACAGTCACAAGGACCTGCTGTTCGGTTCCTGGGCACCCATGTGAGTGACAGCACAGTCACTCTCTGCAGGGAGGCTCTCAGAGGGTCCTCCTTGCCCCGCTGCCCCGCTGCCCTGCTGCCCTGCTGCCCCGCTGCCCTGCTATCGATCCCCCCCATCACAGTCACACACCACAAGTACAGTCACACTCACCTGCTATTCCGTTCCTGGGCACCCATGTGACCTGCAGAGAGGCTCTCAGCGGGTCCTCCTTGCCCCCCTGCCCCACTGCCTTTGTTGGTGCTTAACCAGCAATAGAGCTCCCCTGACTACTCGTTACAGTCACACATCACAGTCACACCGCCACTACAGTCACACCGCCACTACAGTCACACCGTCACTACAGTCAGACCGCCACTACAGTCACACCGCCACTACAATCACACCGCCACTACAGTCACACTGCCACTACAGTCACACCGCCACTACAGTCACACTGCCACTACAGTCACACCGCCACTACAGTCACATCGCCACTACAGTCACACAAACCTGTTCCGTACCTCGGAGCCCATACGACCTGCAGGGAAGGCTCTGAGCAAATCGTCCTCACTCTCTCTCCCCTCCACTGCCTTAGTTGCTGGTGCTTAACTAGCAATAGCACTTCACTGACTACTCATTACAGTCACACCACCACGACAGTCACCCTCAGTACAGTCACACGAACCTGCGATGCCATTCCTGGGAACCCATATGACCTGCAGGGATGCTCTCAGAGGGTCCTCCTTGCCCCCCTGCCCCACTTATGCTGCTGCTGCTGCTGCTGCTGCTGCAGGAACAGCAGCAGCGTTTCACTGCTCGGTACAGTCACACGCACCTGCTATTCCATTCCTGGGAGCCCATATGACCTGCAGGGAGGCTCTCAGAGGGTCCTCCTTGCCCCCCTGCCCCACTGCTCCCCCTCCCCCCGCCAGCCCCCCTCCCGCCGCGCCCATCCCCCGCGGCCCATACACCCCCGCCACCACACATGTGTCCCCTGCAAGGGGTTAAGGTTTAAGGCGGGTTAGGGGGGAATGAGGGGAGGAAATGGGGAGATTCAACTGAACCGCGCCCATCCCCCACGGCCGATACACCCCCGCCACCACACGTGTCCCCTGCAAGGGGTTAGGGGTTTAAGGGGGGTTAGGGGGGAATGAGGGGAGGAAATGGGGGGATTCAACTGAACCGCGCCCATCCCCCACGGCCGATACACCCCCGCCACCACACGTGTCCCCTGCAAGGGGTTAGGCGTTAAAGAGGAGTTAGAAGGGAATGAGGAAGGAAATGGGGAGATTCAACTGAACCGCGCCCATCCCCCGCGGCCCATACAACCCCACCACCACACACGTGTATTCCTGCACGGGGTTTAGGGTTTTGGGGGGAGTACCAGGGGAAGGTGGGTTAGGCACGGGATGGGGATTAGGGGGGGATGGGAGGAAGAAATGAGGAGATTCAACTAAACCACACCCATCCCCCACAGCCCATACAACCCCGCCACCACACATGTGTGACCAGCAGTAGGACGTCGGGGAGTGGGGGGGGGGGGGGGGGGGGTGGGTGGGAGAAGGAGGAGGGGGCTAAGGAAGGCTTAGGGGAGAGTGCGAGGAAGAAGCGGAATGGTCTGAGTGACCCACGCCCATCCCCCGCGGTCCTTCCACCCCCGCCACCACACTCGTGTCGCGTCGCCTGCAGAGGGGTCTGGGAGGGGGGGTTGGGTGGGGAGCGAGTGCAGGCGAGCAAGGGTATATGAGAGGGTAAAAAAAGGGGGATTCAATTAAGCCATCCTTCAGCGGCACATACACCCCCGCCACCACACATGTGTCGCCTGCAAGGGGCTTAGAAGGAAGCGGGAGAGAGAGAGAGAGTGGATTGTGTTTTGCTAGTTGTTCGTTTGCCTAGCTTGCTGGTCTCGCTATGTTGGACTCACGATTGCTTGCACGTTTAGACCAAGTGGTAGCTCCTTGCTTGTACCTTGCGAACCATGTCAATACATGACAGCTTGAGAGTGGATTGGGCGGAGGGCGGGAAGGGGAGTTGAGGCGGGTGGTGAGGGTGGGCCGGGAGAGCGGGGGGAGAACGAGGGGATTCGGGAGGGGGAGGGGGGGAGAGGAGGGCGGGGGTGCGAGGAAAGGACGAAGAGTCGCGCATTCAGCTTGTGAACATATCCCGTGCACGCTAGGTGAGTGAGTATACCGAGCTTGACGTTCCCGAACAGCGTGCAGGGAAGATCATACCCTTCACGCAGCTCCAGTAAACGTTTCGCTCGTTACAATCACGCAACTCACGACCACCTTGCAGAGCAAAGCTTTGAGTTGTCGCAAAACTCGCCCGTTACAGTCACGCACTTAGCGACCACCTCGCCCGTTACAGTCACGCACCTAGCGACCACCTTGCGGAGCCATCGGCGCGGCACAGAGGACCCCGGCTGGCGAGCATTGGTCGCAGCTGCGTCGCCGTGCGACCGTCGGGTCGCGCTGGATTAGAGTACGACGCATCTTTGGTCATGATAACAAATCACGAACGCGGAAGGCGAACAAACAAGAAAATACTATTTCAGATGTTTCCGACACCGCGGTACCACGCTGACAATATCGACTACGGCGGAGAACGCGGAGAAAGCAACCACTGACAGTCGGTCGGACGAGCATTGCTGGTTGAAATACATGCTTTATTAGTGGCTGACGTAAGAGAATAATGTCTGCTGGGAAACATGGCAATAAACTTACCAAAACAAAGGTGAAACAAAATAAACAATGGCGCTATTCTCTTGCCGCATTAGGATTTGCGCCAAGTGTCGAATTCCCAGTAACTAGACGACTGGGATAAAGGAGCTTATTAAGTAGCGGGTCGGTGCATCAATGGTGTTACGAATGGTAAATTAAGAAAGAGAATATGCAAAGACACGAAGTAAAGAAAATGATTATTTCTTACACTACCCCTTCCCCTAAGGAGGCCCTCTTTTACGAAATTGCGTGTACATCCTGGAAATTTCAGCCGCGCAGATACTCAGTGAGGACGGGGTGGTTTTCAATTCTATCCACGGAAACCCAGTTGTCCTCGGTGGGCGTGCGGTCTTTCGAACGGATCAGAAATTCGATTCTGCGGGCTCCTCGTGGGTCACGGACTCGGTGGCTCAATACTTTTTCAGGCGTGATCATTGGCTCTGTTGGCGGTTGTGTCATGCTGTTTGGGCAGTTGCGAGGCAGTTGGCTGGTGGAAGGGACGTATGGGCAGAGGAGGCTCACGTGGAACTACGGCTTGACGTACCAGTCCGCTGGGAGGAGGAGGTGGGCGGTGATGGGAGTGACCATCTGGCTGATGCAAAATGGCCCACAATATCAGGGGCGGAGTTTTGGGGTAATTGAGAAAACTGAAACGAGAATGAAATGACTAGGTGAAAGTTGGGTACAAATACAACCCTAGAAAGTTGTACCCCATGTGTGCTACCCCACTATAGCCTACAACAGCAATGTCATACAAATCTGACACACCCCCATAGGCAAAGTGGGGGAGAACAAGGGGTCACAAGACCAGTCAAGCAAAGCAAAGCAAAGCTCAGGGTGGATCACAAAGTCACCACACATTCCGAGCACAAGTTCAAGGCCAGACGGCCAGTTCACATGCAATAGCACACATATATATATAAAAGGCTAAACAAGCAAGAGCAGGAGTATATATATGTGATAGTACAAGCAAGGTCAAGAAGTGAGCAAGTGAGGCAAGACAGACACAAGACCAAGTTGAGTACAGAAGCGCTGATGATCACAAGGCGCAAGAGCCTTAGTGAAGATATCAGCAGTGTTGGCATCAGAGGCCACGTACGCAAGTTGCAACTGACCACGCTGCTGCAGCTCACGAGCAAGAAAGTAGCGGAGAGCAATGTGCTTCGTTCTGTGCTCCAGGCGCTGCTCCCGACACAAGGCCAGCATGGCCTTGTTGTCTACGTACAGCACTGGAGGAGAACGAGGCGGCTCTCCTAGGTCAGTCAGCAGGTAGGTGAGCCAGCGTAGCTCCTGAGCAGCCATGGCTCCGGCGTAGATCTCAGCCTCACAACTGGAGCCGAGAACAGAAGACGAGCGGGTAGCCCGCCACGAAACAGAGCCGGAACCAAGGCTGAAGGTGTAACCCTGTGACGACCGCTGCGTAGCCTGGTCGTCAGCCCAAGAAGCGTCTGCGTGCCCAGTGAGGACCACTGGACTGCGCCCTCCAAGCACTAGCCCCATGCCCGACGTACTGCACAAGTAGCGCAACACCCTCTTCGCTGCAGCCATGTGCTCTGGTCGGTGTCTCCCAGGAGCAACATAGCGTGCGAGAATGCTAAGAGGGTATGCAAGGTCAGGACGTGTGCAGGTCATCAGGTACATGAGGCAGCCAACAAGCTCTGCAAACGGGCCACTCGACTCTACAGACTCATCCGAAGGCAGAGCTGAGAGCGAGTGGCGAGTAGGCAGAGGAGTGGCCTGAGGCGAGGAGTACGTGAAGCCGAAGCGCTGAAGGACCTGCTGCACCATGTGTGACTGAGTCAGGGTAATGGTGCGGCGTGCTCTGTCCCGGGTGATCTGCAAGCCAAGGTAGCTGCGCAGTTCACC